ATTAGTCGAGCGTTTGGTGCAATATCAGACTAATGATCGTATTATTTATATTGTGTTTGATATTATACCGGATAGAAGGAATCAAACTTAAAATAAAATTAAAAAAAAAACTGAAATCATCTCTCTTGTTCCAGATCTCTCCGCCGCAACCCCCCCAAACTCCCTCCCTTTCTATCCCTTCTTCTTCTTCCCCGTCTGCTCCCCTGAACTAAACCCCACCACAAAGGCAGCAACAAGAAACCCAGCAAAACCCACCTTTCAAATTCTCATTGTTTTTTTCCCAATCCTTCTCTTTTTTTTAGCTACAAATCAACCCAGCAAAAAAGACACACCATAAACCAAGAAAATTCACACAGAGGACTTTGTTTTCTATTAGTCCTAAAAAACAATTGGAAGGAAATTCACGGAGGACACCTTTTTTTCAACAAACCAAGAACACTCATCGGAGAGAAAAATGGGGCTGACTATGATTTTGGGCATTAGGTTGGGGAAAAGCATTGACAAAATTCGATTTGGAGATGGGGAAGAGCTGAGTGGCGCCTCCAGTTGGCGAATTCCTCAGCTTCCATCCGTCCCTTTCTGTATATCCCTATGGAATATGTTGTTTCGCTACTGGTCTCCTTTTGTCTCTCTCTCACTCTCTTCTTTGTTCCTCTGTGTGCTATCCGTCGGACGAGACGGGAAATTAGTCAGTGAATGACTGCAGAGGAGTGGCGTCCAGGGTGGAGAACTCGTCGAGGAACTGCTTGAAGGCCCACTTTGACAAGTCGTTAACGGCGGCTTCGTGAAGTTGGAGAGGACAGCGCCCTGACTAATTATCCCGAGCTTTTGAGCTGTTTTAATAGTACGGTGTCAACCATATAAAATTTGATGGGCCGGATAATTAAGCGGGTGCTTATTTAGTACGAGAGTGCACCAAATAACTGCTCCCGTATTATTTATCCTATCCGATGCTTTATACAACGTGCCAAACGAGGCCTAAGTGCTCGTATGTCATTGATTTATTTTACCAAAACAAAAGAAATATTTTTGCTCAGAACAATCAAGTGACAGTGATATTTACCAACCTATTTATTACTATTAGATGAATTTAAACTTGAAGATCTATAGTAATAACATAAATTTAAAAATTTAAACTCATCAAATATTAATAAATAAGATGGAGACCATTACCACTACTTAAGAAGTGGTGGGCAAAAATGCACTCTTTTTCTACACATTCTTCTTAATTTTTAGGATAAATATCAGTTTACTACCCTCAAGTTTCGTAATTTTCAACATTTGATACATTAAATTTTTTTCGTCCAGAGTCATATCTAAAGTGTTAATATTGGAACGGTCTCATCCATCCGTTAGTTTGATTATTAAGTCTCCCGTTAATTGATGACGTGACACCCATGTAGACAATGATTGGACACCACATGTTATTAAGGATCCACGTGGAAATTAATAAAAAACCAAAAAATAAATAAAATAAAAAAATAAAACAGAACCCCTCTTCTTCCACCCGACCCTCCATCTCCTCCAATCTCCATAACCACCCCTCTTCCCCGACACCTTCTCCCTCTCCTCCACTCTCTTCACCTACCCTCCCATCAGAAAAATGCACAGCTGTACCCCCAAAACCTAGCTCCCAACTTTCCTCCACTTCCTTTTTTTTTCATTTTTTTTCAAAATTTAAACACAACCCAAGATAGTTTAATGAAGAAAGAATGTAAAGTTAAAGAAAAAGAGGAAACCTTGATGCTTTTCACGGTGGGTTTGTTCAAGCGGTTTGGGTGCTTGTGGACATCAAGCTTCTGCCTTGAAGAAGCACTCAATCTGGCAGCACAAGATAGAGAGATCAAGGCCAATAGGCAAAGGGCCAGCGCCGGAGCTCCCCCAGAGCTCCCTATGCTGCACCCAACAAACTCCATTTGGTAAACCCAGCAAAACAAAGACCCAAAAAGCTCAAAAATCAAAGCTTTCTCTTTCTCTCCCTCTCTCTCTCACAACGCTACACTACAGAGACCCATAAAAAAAACGCAGTCTCCTCCACTTCCTCTCTCTTTTCTTCTCTACCCAAATCCAAACCCCAAAATCCCTCTTTCTTGAATCCCTTCCCAAAACAAACCCAAACCCCAAAATCCCTCATTCCTTCCCGGAGGAGTTCTCAGCTCCGTTGTCGTCCGCGTTGATGTCGAGAGATTGGAGATGTGTTGAAATGGATTTCGGGATTTCGGCGGAGGAAGCGATGAGAAAACCGAGGAGGGTTTCGAGGTGGGGATTGAATCAATTGGGTCTTCATCTTCACCGTCATCGCCAAGATTTGGGGATTTTGGAATTAGGGTTTGTTTTGGTTTGGGAAGGGATTGGAAGAAAGAGGGATTTTGGGGTTTAAGAGAGAGGAAGTGGAGGAGAGGGAGAAGGTGTCGGGGAAGAGGGGTGGTGCACTGGTGGTTATGGAGATTGGAGATGGAGGGTCGGGTGGAAGAAGAGGGGTTCTGTTTTTGTTTTTTCTTTTTTTTTTTAGTTTTTAATTTCTACGTGTATCCACGTGATGCCTGGTCATTATCTATATAGATGCCACGTGGCGCATAATAATTGTCTATTTGGACGTCACGTCATCAATTAATAGAAGATTTAATAGTCAGACTAAAGAATGTATGAGATTGTTCCAAAATTAACACTTTAAGTATGACTCTGAGACAAAAAAAAACTTTATGTAGCAAATGTTGAAGACAACGAAACTTGAGTGTAGTAAACATGAGATTTACCCTAATTTTTATACAGAACTTCTTCCTTGATTTATTTAATAAAAAAGTAAGTAATAAAAAAAAGTTAGAATGAGAATCCTCTTCAGATCTTCAAATCGTAATCGTTTATCATACATCGTATGATTAATTTTCGTTGATTACTATTTATATTTAATTTTAAATAAAAATATTTAAATTAATTTATGACAGCACAATAATACAAGTTGAGAATTCACAAAATCAAAATGGATCCGAAGATCATCCTCATTCAAAGAGATGTTGCGTAGAAGAGAAAAGTTGAGATATTTTATCATTTCTTTGGAAAGTCTCTCTTCCTTTTTTTCTTGTGGAAACTAGAAGCATTGGGCCGCCTATAATTCAGGCGGAAATGTTGACTTCGGTGACGTAGTTATACTGTACTACCAATGCTCTATATAACTTCATGACACACCTTAGAATTTAAAACACAACAACACAAAACCCAATCTACAAATTTTGGTATCGCTTAGCTCCCACAATGAGCCTCCTTAAAAGCCTCTTACTTTTCTCCATCCTATGTGCCATTCTCTTCTTTGCATCAACTAATGCAGCTCGATTCGACATCCAAAACAACTGTGCCTACACTGTATGGGCAGCTGCTGTGCCAGGCGGTGGTCGCCAACTCGACGGAGGCCAATCCTGGGCCATAGATGTAAGTGCCGGTACCACATGAGCTCGCATTTGGGCTCGAACGGGATGCAGCTTCGATGGAGCAGGACGTGGCCAATGCCAAACAGGTGACTGTGGGGGTGTCCTCGAATGCCAAGGCTATGGTCAACCACCAAACACCCTAGCTGAATATGCCCTTAATCAATATAACAACTTGGATTTCTTTGACATTTCTCTTGTTGATGGGTTTAATGTACCTATGGACTTTAGTCCCACGTCTGGTGGGTGCACTAAGGGGATTAGGTGCACGGCTGATATTAACGGGCAGTGCCCTGACCAACTGAAGGCTCCAGGAGGGTGCAACAACCCTTGCACCGTGTTCAAGACTGATCAATATTGTAGCAATTCTGGAACTTGTGACCCTACAGACTTCTCTAGGTTTTTTAAGAATCTGTGCCCGGATGCTTATAGTTACCCTAAAGATGACGCAACCAGTACATTTACATGCCCTACTGGAACTAACTACAAGGTTGTCTTCTGCCCGTGATTGAAGTATATCTATGTTTCCTTCGCTACTAGTTTTTACAATAAAGTATACGAACAATAAGTTTGTGATGCAATAATGTCGTGGCACATCGGTTGGCTAGCTATCGGATATCATCCGGGCTGTTTTATATTGTATTGCTTAATCATCAATAAAAAGCTATCGTTTTGCTCTTTCAAAAAAAAAAAAAAAAAAGCTATCGTTTTGCTTAAAAAAATTACGGCCTTGTCAGTACATGTAATGGTGCGCATTATGTAACAAAAAAGCACTCGTAACAGGTTAATAACTAATCATCCAAGCAACAATAGCTTCATAAAAAATTGTTCTTAATTATATTTCTACATACTTTCCTTTTATATGGTTATGTGGAAAAATTGACGTTTAATGGCTAATCATCTAAGCGACTATAGGTACATAATTTTTCTAACTGAGAAACTCCAAAGGAGGATATATATCTCAAGTCATGATTTGACCTACTATTCATCTTGGAAAAAAACAAATACAGATGTATTTATATAAACGATCTTTATCTTCCAGATCGTCATCGCAGTAAACACTTAAAACATCACATCGTTTTTCATTCATGATGGATATGACCTTCCAATCAATATCGTTTAAGTTCATCTTCAAGCTCGTTTTTATATATGTTAATTCAAGTATACAATCATCATTCATCTTATATTTTGAGTAAACTGCATGCGTTCTAGAACAAATCTGCATAGCGAATCAGTTATTAGCTAGGTATACTATCTTTTTTATTAATTGCAAGTGTGTGTATACTTGATTAGTTGTTGCTAGAATCGGCAAGTTCAATTCGTAGTATGTATAGTGGTTTGCAAATTCGTCATTCCGACAAATTAATATTCTTATTTAAGATGAATTTTGACAACCTAAATTAAAATTACTTAAGCAAACAAGCTTTAAAATCATCCTAACTATTGAATCAATGAAATTTGTGGAGAGTTAGTTAAGAAAATTGTTACACCCCACCCCTGTTTTTAAAAATATTTTTGGTCTTAATTGGTGAGCCCAAGGGGCCCACCCCTTTATTTGTGCCCCCGGTTCCCTTTCCTTTCCCTTTCTCTATTCTCTCTTTCGCCCCCAGCTCCCTCTGTCTCATTTCTATCCCTCTCCCTTTCGGACCTCACTCTTTCCTTTCTCATCGCTGCACCATTCCCTCCCCGAGAAACAACACACACACATATACACACGACGGCATCACCACCATCGCCATCACGTTTGCTCTCTCTCTCTCTCTCTCTCTCTCTTCGCCTCTGTGGAGCACAGAAGAACTCTGCCAAGTTCCTCGCCTTTCTGATGACTGGTAAGCCTCGGTTCCCTTGAAATCTGTTCATCTTTGTCCTTTTTGCCAAATTCTAACCTTGATTATGTCTTTAGGACGACGAAATCATACGGAGACGCCACGGGTGTGCTTAACCCAGTTTCCGGCGAGCCGTGGGTTTACGAGCCCAAGTCCGGCCACCTCTAGTCCTTTCACGGTGAACTAAAGGTACAAAACATTCCTCTAATCTTGTACTTCAATTTGGCACTTAGATCGGAACCTAAGGTGACGTTGTGTCGTCGACCGGAGCACAGAAGGCTCCGGCCTCCTTCCCTGGCGAGAGCAAGTGAACCCAGGCCCTTCGGGCCGTTTTTAAAACTCGGGCCTTGGGCCCGTTGGAAAACCCAGCCCAACCCTTTAATATAAATTGTTTTATTTAATTTAGTCTAGTAAACTAAAGGCCCTTTGGGCCGTGCCAAACCTAGGGCTTTAGGTCCGTTGTTTTAAACCCAAAAACCCTTTTGACTAGGCCCTTGGGCCATCTAAGACACGGGCCTCAAGCCCAACACCCAATTGGACCCAACCCAGAAAACCCCTTTAAGCCCTTAACCCTTTAACCCTATTTGGACCTTAGGCCTTTGGGCCATGGATCCGGTCCACTAACCCTTGGCCCAATCTGTATCCAACCCAAGCCCAGACCTTTTGACCTGCGTTGACCGGGTCAACAGTCAGCGTTGACTTTGAATTTGACCGTTGACTTTTTTAGGTTTTCGTCCAGGACCCTTCCTAGGCTAATTTCGAGGTTGTCCGTTTTCCCAAATTAAGTCGTTTGAGTAGATTTTGACCAAATGTACACTGTATGTGTTTAGGGGCAATTATGGTGGCGTTCTGTCTCCGCTAGTTTGCGTGGCTCTTCGGCGGCTAAGTATCTGTGAGTGGACCCCTTCTAAAAATGCATGTTTTGATAATAGAAATGCATACATGAAAAACATGATTTAATGATTATGTTCTATGAAACGCTTTGAGATAACATGCTTACTGAGGCTAGATTGAATTACTATTATTTTTCCTATAACCCGTGTTCTTATAGAATATCCGATAGATGACAATATGATATTTAGAATATGTTTCGAACACCTCTTTATAATATAGATGATGGATGACTTTATACTATGAAGTTGCTTTTCAATATATATATGTTCAATGGTTTTGTACTTACCTAATGGTCCTTATTCCGCTACGAGACATAGGGATAGATCCCGGTCCGTCCCAGGAGACGGTTTGGTGTTGGCATAGGGCCTAGAGTGTGTTTCCTCTAGCTATTTAGCACAGAGACGGGGAGCCGGCATGGGACTTGGGGGTAATTTTCCTCTGATTGTCTGCTCAGTGACGGGGAGCCGGCATGGGGCTTGGAGAGATATTGGACATTTATTAGTGATTATTATATATACGAGTTATAGTTTGAGACATTGCACGACAAGCTAGGTTTTGGAAAACCTATGTTTATCATGATATATATGTGTTTTCATAAAACCTGGGGTTAGTACGTTGATAACTGTTTTAGTATATATATATCAACTTGGTTCACTCATGTTTGTTTTGCGCCCCCTTCAGGACTTAGAAGCAAGACATACAATCTCGGCGTCAAGGCACTTCTGCATTGGCGTCTTCAAGTCCTATCGGTGTAGGACCCATTCTTTTATTCATTCAATTTTATATTAATTCTATTAGTGTTCTAATTAGTTGTATGCTCTGGACACATTCCTTAAATGCATATTCTTTATTCTTTTATATTTATAAGTCTTATTTATCCCTTGTTTTCAGCTTTTGCACTCAATAAATGACTTTCGTCATCCTTGAGTGTCTGCCAGCACGTACCTATCCTGGTATTTGGGAAATATCGGGATCCGGCCGTATCAAAAATCTTTTAAGCGAAAAAAGCAAAACATAAACTTAAACAAGAAGTAGGAGATGAAAAGGTTGGAATGAGGTTTTTTCTTTTCTTTTCGGTAACAATTGGAAAGAGGTTTGAAAAACGATGAAAGTCTAGGGTTTCATAATGAACCATAAGTGATCTAGTTTAGGTTTCAACGTATTCAACACATTCATTCGATTCTAAGTGACTACCTGCAGGTACGTTAGAGCATAGTTTTTCTTTTATTTGCATCATTTTTTTTGTAGTTTAGATTAAATTTGTATACCCTATTTGTTAAAAAAAAAAAAAAAATCTGCATACCCTATCATGCAGTCTAATAACTTAACTTTTGTATTGAACTGATAACTTTGAAAACACGCAATTTGACATAAATTTGTTGACTCCACACGGTTGGTTAAGAAAACTCACTTGGTCATGTCATTTGACAAAATTTTAGTTATGCCTTGTTCCTATTAATTAAATCGAAACAAAAAACTACTTCAATGAATAAAAACAGAATAAAGAAATTATCTATCCTTGTTTGGTTGTGGTGGTGGAATAAGCACCTTAATTATCATCACTAATATAAAGTGCACAAAAACCAATGACAGATGGTACAAGTCGGGTGCTTAGAACTTGTCTTCTGCCCTCTCAGTCAGTCAACGTTTAGGTTTTCCAAATCAGTGCGGGCAATTTAATTCAAAGGAAAACTAATAAAGGGATTTGAAAACTTTGAGTTTTAAAGATAAGGACAAAATAAAGAGTAAAGTGAATAATACTTGGATTAATTTTTTAGTGTAAAAATGTAATTTTTCGTTAAAATGAACAGTACCAGAAGTTTTTTATTAAAGTTCTTCTAATTCAACCCTCAAAGTTTTACCATTTAGTCGAAAAGTATGTCTCACTTTATCTTGTGGAAAATAGTGGAATGAAGGAATATCGGTCCTCCTATTGCCATAGATGGAAATTAACAGGCTTAGAGATGATGTCATTTGGTGACCATGTGTAAGTTCAATGTACAACAAAATATAACCACATGAATCTCCTCAGGATTAAAAATTCACAAACACACCAAAAACCATTATATTAAATGGTGTTGCTTAGCTCCCACATGACATCAACAACATGTGAACTCATATGGCCCAAAGGACTTCTATGTGATTTGGGAATCTCCAACAGCTCACCATTGTCTCTCATCAGCGATAACCAAGCCACGATGCATATTGCCTAAGGCCATCTCCAACCGATGGCTGGCCAGAGAGCTCGTTTTAGCCCTCTGGCCCTCCAAGATTCTCAAAGATATTAATATTTTAATGAACAGTACATGACCATATTTGCCTCCGTCTCCAACCGAGGGCCAGAGGGCTCGTTTTAGCCCTGTCACAAAAAACCGTCTAAACCGAGGGCCAAAGGGCCATAGAGCCAAACATAATTTATTATTTAAAAACTACAACTTAATTTTATTTAAAAATCATGTTGGTTAGTGTTGTATAATTTTTATGTTGGTTAATGTTATTTAATGTTGTTTCATATTGTTTAATGTTGTTTCATGTTACTTAATTTAATTTAATGTTGTATAATGGCTTAGGAAGTTATAGGAAAAAAATAGAATTTAAAAAAAATATGAAACAAATTTTGTGAATAGAAGTTATAGGAAAAAAATGGAATTTAAAAAAAAAATATGAAACAAATTTTGTAAAATAGAAGTTATAGGAAAAAAATAGAAATAAAAAAATTGAAACAAATTTTGTAAAATAGAAGTTATAGGAAGTTATAGAAAAAAAAAGAAAAAAAAGGTTTAAATTCATAAAAAAAAAAAAAAAGGTTTACAACGGCTAGTGGCGCTAGCCGTTGGAAGTTTAAATTCAAATTGTTATTTCTGTCGGTTATAACCGACAGAAATGAGAAACATTAAAAAAAAAAATAGCCAGCCCGGGGCTGGCTGGCTGGCCGAAAGCAGCCAGCCCTCCAGCCCTCCAGCCCTCTCCGATCCCGTGGGACCCTCCCAGATTCCAGAGCCCTCTGACCTAGCCCTCGGTTGGAGACGGTTTTAGGGCTATTTTCGGCCCTCTGGCCCTCTGGACCCTTCGGTTGGAGATGGCCTAATAAGTATTAATTAAAATATGAGTGTAATGAAAATATGAGGGCTTTGTGTACAAATGCAGTGTTGTGCGTATGTTGTGTGAGTTTGGTCTTTATGTTGGTAGTTGTTCCTTTGTTTTTTTCATTTTAGTTATCCATATGATGAAATGACTTGATGACTATTTGTCGAAAGCTCATGGGGCAAAGAGCAATATTACCCTAGTAAATCCACGAATTGAGTTTGTTTATATATAACGCACTAAAGAAAAAGAATTTTGTCATTTAATACTACAGTTTAATGATTGTTTCTTTATAAGTGAAAAGTCTTAAATTCGAATCTCGTGGACGACGAGTTCGATACTAATTAAAAGGGATTTTTTTTTTAAATGTCCTATGAACTTGTTCATATTTTTCAATTTGTCGTATAAACTAAAATTTTAAGCAATTTGTCACACCAACTTTACAAAATTATTAATTTGTCATCTCACCCTAACTGCGTTAAGTTTTCCATCCAATAAAAGTCATGATCCTTTCATATGACTTGTGTTCGGGGTTATTTAGGTCATTTTAACATCTTTTCACAAGGCTTTTACTTTTCTTTACTACAAACATTTAAATTTTTTAATTTTCTTTAGCGCATATGCATCTACAACTCAATTTATGGCACAACTTATTTCTCATTTATAGAGCCCGTATGAAATTATGTCTTCATGACATGCTAAAATGCAAACTCTCACTTGTGTATCACTATATATTTGGAATATTCAGAAATAACTTAATAAAAAGGAAGTAAAGTATTAAAAGGATCGAAATAACCCTAAACACAAGTCATGTGCTAGGCACATGACCTATATTAGATGGAAAACTTAATGGAGTTAAAGAGAGATGACAAATTAATGATTTCAAAATGTTGGCATGACAAATTGCTTAAAATTTTAGCTTATATGACAAATTAAAATGCGTACAAGTTCATATGACATTTCAAAAAAAAATCCTAATTAAAATTATCTACACCTGCACAAACCGTAATTTTGGTAAGAACTAAAGAGGGGTATGTGTACACCCACACAAACCCTATCTTCCTCTTCCATTTTAATTTTGAATTATGTGAAGAAAAAAAAGAAATATCTCCACCCACACAAATCTTAATCTTTGCTAAAAACTAAAAACACAATTGTGGATGCAAATTTCTTCCTCCTTGTTCTTGGACAAAATTGCAACTACAAAATAAATAACACCTTAGGTTAAGGCCAAGCGCCTCACGTGCCCAAGATGAATTGGGGGGGGGGGGGCGTTTTGGCTGAAGAACCTCTGATGCCAAAGTTAGAATTTTGAGGGAAAAATGTTTGGAGAATTTAGCAAGAGAATTGGAATTGAGTTTTGGAAAGAATGAGGGTGTTTATATAGGGGTGTGGCTAGCCACCTTGGGAGGAGATGGACCAGCCACTTGGATGGATTTATGGGTCAAGTTCGTGATTTGTGTTTAATTAGCAAATTAATTGAATAATTGATCAATTAATTAGCTAATTAATATAATAAAAAAGGAATGATTTAGGGGTTACCTTGTGGAGAATATATGATGAGGGATGGATGAAATAGGTTATAAATAAATACCTATTTGGGTACTTTTGACTTGATTGAGGGATGATTGTCAACTGCTCGTGCGTAGGAATTCCGATGTGCCTCAATGGTAATTTTGTCCTTTTAACACAAAAATCCACATATTGCCTCTTGCTTATTTTTGGCTCCACAAATGACCCTGATGAGTCAATATTATATTATATATTTCATCCTATTCTTAGTATAATTTGGTAATTACTTTGGTAAAATTTTGATACTTTGTTTCATATTTTTAACATAGGACATTCGACTTCTTTCGGAGAAAACGTACTCAAACAAACAAAATTGGAGGACGTTCGGGTGTCTCTTGGCATATTCTTATCAAAATTTCAGCAATTTCTATCAAGCGGTTACTTTTTGGCAATTAAATAAAGGAGCAGTGCGCGTTGTTGGAAAGTTTTTTGGGCTTAAAAGCAGTTTTTGAAGCCCAAGATGATGTCAGATGGGTTCGTGGCCTTCTGGAGAAGTGTTCAGAATAATCCAAGCTTTAAATCTAGCAATTTTGGGCTAGTTTTGCAGATAATATGGGTCCAAACCGTGGCTGTGCAGAATTTTGGGCGAATTTACCCAGTCAATTCAGAATTATGTTTCCTATTTTGTTTCAATTGATTTAGTTTCATAGTCTTATTCTAAGACCTTGACTAGGAGGATTTTAATTAGAGTAGTATAAATAAGCCTTCTGGCAGACCTAGGGTTTCTCTAGAAGGCATGCAATTTTTGGGAAGAATATTTTGGGGGCAAAGCTTAGAGATTTCAGGACTTATACTTTCAAGGTGTTTTCATTCTTTTTCTATTTCAATAAAGACTTTATGATTTTTAGTATGAATATGCGTAACTAATCTTCTTTGTTAGGGTGAGGCCATGATCCTTAGTAAGAATATGTAGTCCCTTTTTTAATTTGCTTATGAATTCATGCATGTAAGTTTTGAATTGTTAATCACC